CCACACACACACACACACACACACACACACACACACACACACACACACACACACACCTCACACAACAGGTTATAATAATAATATAAGTTCTTTATTTTCAGGCTTGATCAAACCTTTTGCATTCAACCTATCTATGAACATAATACAGCAATGATAAATACAAATACCTTGCATGAATGCGTTTATAGGTGTTTGTGCACGTATGTACGTGTTTTTGTTTTATTTGATTGTTGATAAATTCCTTGCATTGTTTTATCCATCTATTTATATACTTAGTTGATTAATTAATTAATTAGTTAATTAATCAATTTCGTAATTAATTTGATTTTTATTTGTCAGAGTTTGTGAAAAAGTACGATGAGAATGAGAAGTTGATGATGGACGAGATGAAGAAGAAGGAACAAGTCAGTCTACGTCATCATCGTCATCATCATCGTCGTTAACATCGTCATCATCATCATCCATCATCATCATTATTAACATCAGCCACAAAAACGTCATCATAATCTTCATCATCATCGCCACGACACACCTGCCCGCCCACACAAAAAAATTACGACCAATCAGGAAAAGGTCTTCAGAGAGGTAGCCAATAAGAGGCTGCGAGAAAATGCTATACCGAAACATGGTTCATTCGTGGCAGACGAGAAAATAAGACTGAAAGAGATCGATGTTAATAACAGTTAGTGAGAGGAGTGCTGGTTATGATGATGATGTTGTAGTTGTTGATGATGATGATGATGATGTTGTAGTTGTTGATGATGATGATGATGTTGTAGTTGTTGATGATGATGATGATGTTGTAGTTGTTGATGATGATGATGATGTTGTAGTTGTTGATGATGATGATGTTGTAGTTGTTGATGATGATGATGATGTTGTAGTTGTTGATGATGATGATGATGTTGTTGATGATGATGATGATGATGATGTTGTAGTTGTTGATGATGATGATGATGATGTTGTAGTTGTTGATGATGATGATGTTGTAGTTGTTGATGATGATGATGATGTTGTTGATGATGATGATAGTAACGGTAAGTTGATAGCAGCTGCTGATGAGTATGATGATGATAATAATGATGATGATAATGATGACGATGGTGAATTTTTGCAATCAATCAATCACTCACTCCAGAATCACTCCCAAAGCATGGCTCCTTCGTAGCTGATGATAGAACGAGAATAAAAGAGAGAAGTTAATAATTGTTGATATTGTTATCACTCCTTCCATTCATCCATCCTCAATTTTTTACTCCTTTTTTTTACTCCTTCATTTAGTTGTGAGCTTGTTCGTTAGTTCATTCTTTCATTCGTTCGTTCATTCATTCGAATTTCTTGGCCTCCATCCAATAAGACATCGTTTATACATTTATTACATTCATCCAGTCTGCATATTCGATTATTAATTCCTCCATTCGTTCGTTCATTCATTCTTTCATTCATTCATTTATTCATTTATGCATTCTTTCATTCATTCACCCATCAGATGAATTGAAAATTTCCTTCAAGCCGAACAGTCAGGACGGATTGAACAACGACCTTTTTGATGACGCACATTTAGGTATGAATATTCTCCTCTTTCTCTCTCTTTCTCTCTCTCTCTCTCTCTCTCTCTCTCTCTCTCTCTCTCTCTTTCTCTCTCTCTCTCTTTCTCTATCTCTCTCCCACAAACACACATCCATACATGCACACACACACACACACATTCATAAAACATACAAATACAGTGAAGAGAGAAAGATCGCAGTCGATGATTGCCGCCACGTCAACAAACATCGAGGCGGAGATTGCACACGATGAACACAAGAAGAAGAGGTTCAGATCCAAGTCCGAATCAGCCACCGCTGAGCAGGTTAGATTGGTTGGCTGGTTGGTTGGTCATTTGGTTGGTTGGTCGGTTGGTCAGTCATTTGGTTGATTGGTTGGTCGGTCATTTGGTTGATTGGTTGTATAGTCAATCATTTGGTTGGCTGGTTGGTTTGTTGGCTGATTGGCTAGCTAGCTCAGAAGCTTATTTTATGGGGTGTTATATTTGTTAGTTATCTAAATTCACCAGTAGTTTCTCACTTTTGGTATATTCATTCATTCATTCATTATCTTGAAATTAACATATAAGTCACTCAACCCACTTTCTTTTCATTCATTTTCTCATTCATTCATTCAGTTCATTCATTCTTTCTGTCTCTGCTGATCACACACCTTAATTAGTTGCACCTCATTACGTTCAGTTTGTTAATTCTTCTTCGCCACCTAGACAGGCTTAAATGACTTTATTACATCAGTATGCATGTATTTTAAATATTATTATATATGTCTATTATATGTTTGTATACGTATGTGTGTACGTATGTATGTCATTATGTTGATGGTTGTACGTTAGCTCTGAGGCCAGAGTGTATGTGTGTTCTTTGTGACACGCTCTCTTACTCTCGATATATATAATAATTATAACAATAGCGACAATGATAGTAGATTTAAATTAAAACGACGGACGGATTTATAGTTTTTTATCTTATGCTGCGATCTCTTTCTCTCTCTCTCTCTCTCTCTCTCTCTCTCTCTCTCTCTCTCTCTCACTCACTGCTGTTTCACTTTGAAAGAAAATCTTTGAAAATGAAAATGAAATAAACATCCGGGAAACCACAACCTCCCAAAAAATCCCACCAAAAATGTAGCGCAAGAAGATGTACTCCGGTACGATCAACCAGCTAGTGCATAAGAGGTTCGTGAACGCCGACAAGTCCATGATCTTGAACATCGAGATGAAGTATGCTGCTTCCAAGGAGCAGAAGCTACAACAGGAGGGCCGGCCCACCGGGGAGGTCGTTGTCGTCTTCATCCTCCTCCTCATCATCCTCCTCATCGTCATCTTCGTCATCCTCATTATCTTTGTCGCTTTTGTTATTATTGTTTTTTTTTATATTACCCTCATCATCATTGTTGTGGTTGCTGCTGTAGTTATTGTTATTTTTATGATTGTACGGATTTCGTGGCTGCTAACACAACCATCCCCATTCTATTTGCTGCTGTTGTTATTATTGTTTATTCTTGTTGTTGTTGTTGTTTGCTATTCTCATTGTGATGTAAATTTCGCCATCTTCATCTTCTTTTCCACCATCTTTCCTAACCAAAGATTGTGAAAATGACGAGGGATGCAATAAACGACAGACCCGAGCAAAGACAATTATTTTCCTACCTTCAAATTCTCTCTGCTGCTTTTGGCGGGTTCGCTCACGGCGGAAATGACGTCAGGTTAGCTGCTTGTTTTTGATTGGCTGGTTTTTGATTGGGCGGTTTTTAAGAAAATTTGTCGTTAATCTCGCCATCACAGTAATGCCATCGGTCCTCTGGTCAGCATTTGGATCCTGGGCACAGCTAAGAGCAATATTCCTGAGAACAGTTACTCGCAGATATTGATCCTGTTGTTCGGAGGTATCGGGATCACAGTGGGACTGTGGATCTGGGGCAGAAGGGTTATCAAGACCATGGGGGAGGACCTCGCTAAAATCACCCCATCCACGTACGTCTTTTTTTCAGATTTAAATGATTAATATATTCCTTATTTCAATTTTTAATATTTTTATTTCGCAATCATCATCTTATGAGGAAATTTTTTTTCTTAAATATTAACCATCAAAAACATAATCATCAACTCAACTCGTGTCATCACCATCTCAACTCCCGTACCCCACCGCCCCAAACAACACTCACAGTGGCTTCTGCATCGAGCTCGGAGCAGCCACGACGGTTCTGGCGGCCTCGAACCTCGGCCTGCCCATTAGTACGACCCACTGTAAGGTCGGCTCTGTGGTGACTGTCGGCTGGGCCAGGGCAAGGAAGAATGTCGATTGGAAACTGTTTTCGTCCATCTTCCTGGCTTGGGTTCTTACTCTTCCCGTGGCAGGTGGGATCAGTGCGGCCGTCATGGCGATCCTGATGAATTTGTCGATCGCCAAGTATGGCATCGGTGGTTCGGCGGGCGCCAGTGGGGCTAATTCTACCATACTGTACGATGTCTTGACTAATACTACTACTATTACTGTTTGATTAGTTGACTTGAGTATATTTCATTGAGTAGTTTTATGAATTTTTCTCTTTTATCTTAAACGGTTGAATAAATAAGCGGTTGATTACATACTTAAATGGATGAGTGAGTGAGTGAGGGAGTAAGTGAGTGAGTGAGTGAGAAACTATACAAAAAATATTTGAATAAATAAATGAATGAAAAGATGAATGAAGGAATGAATGAGCAAATGAACGTATCACATAGACACTACATAGACGCTCTCCAAACTCGAGTTTATGCATCAAGAGGATGGATTTTACGTTTAAAAAAACTTCACTAACAAATAAATAACTTAAATAAATAATAAAGATGAATTAAAAAATGCAAAATAGTTTTGAAGAGAGAGAGACAGAGAGAGAGAGTTGAGTAGTGTGGAGGAAAATGTCAATCACTTCACGAATTAATTACAATTGACCATTTAATTGATTAATTAATTCGTATTACATCCTTGTCAGAGGCCCTACTTTACTAACCTTCACTGATATACAGCAATAGAATCGTATACACACACTCTAATATATATCTTTATATATATATATATATATGTGTGTGTGTGTGTGTGTGCGTGTGTGTGTGTGTTTCTGCGTTAATGTTAGGACATTATTTAGAGAATTAATTCAAAAACGATATATGCTTGTGGCAAGTAGTGTGTGTGTATATATATATATATATATATATATATATATATATATATATATATATATTATGGATGCACCGGATTCAGGTTTTTCAAATCCGGCCGGGGCCGGACTTGGCCGGATTTGAAATTCAAAAACCGGCCGGGGTCGGAGCCGGGGCCGGATTTTAGTTACCATTTTACATTCGTTAGAAAAAATACTCACATTTACGGTTATCTACATGTTGAACATCAAAAAATAACACCAAGCAAATAGTTATTTAATTCAAATATATGATAATAAGTTGTGTGATACGCCAAATTCTGTACACAAAGATCAGCTTATAATTTATGCATATTTGCATAACCTAAGTTAAAGCACAAAGAAAATTGTCCAGCTCACCGCACAATTAGTGATGTTGTAATTATGTGTCATGTATACCTAGCCTAACCTTTAACATACCATGTTCTTAAATTATGTGCTTATGTATCTCTCTCTCTAAATATATATATATATATATATATATATAGATATATAAATATATATCTTTATATATTATATATATAGATATATAGATATATATCTTTATATATATATATATATATTATGTAGCTATATGATCCGTCATGTGCAATTATCAATATATAGTATATACACGTGCACAAGTTCTTTTACACAAAGATATCAGCTTATAATTTATGCATAACCCATGTTATAGCATAAAGAAAATTGTCCAGATCACCTCACAATTAGTGATGTTGTTATTATGTGTCATGTATGCCTTTAGCTTAGCTTTAGCCATTAACTTACTGACATAAAATTAATTGAATTCAATAAAATTTTTTTTTCTATTTCTAACATTTTTAAAAGTTGATAGACGCTTAAATCCGGCCCTAAATCCGGCCACCAAATCCGGCTGGGGCCGGATTCGACCGGATTTGAAAAAAAAGCCGGATTTTGGCCCGGAGCCGGGGCCGAACTTCGGTGCATCCCTAATATAGATATATATATATATATATATATATTTATTTATTTATTTTGGGAAAAACTCAACTACAAGTTGAATAATGCCGAAAACGCAGTGATCTTTATAAATAATTGTATTTATGATAGTCTAAACCCAGAATTTCTATCAAGGACATGGACTAAATGCGTTGTTTTTGATGAAAGTGACGTCAACTCTAATCTCAATAATGAACTTAGAGAAAAAAAGAAATTAATAAAGTTTCATTAGAAAAATTGAGAAACTCAACCACAAGTTGAATAATGCTAAAAACGCAGTGATCTTTATAAATAATTGTGTGTGTATATATATATATATATATATATATATATATATATATATATATATATGTGTGTATATATATATATATATATATATATATATATATATATATATATATACCTTCATACATACATGTTATATTGTATTACTATTGTGTTATTTTTGACATTGAGTGAAGGTTTTTCTTTTTGATTAAGATCTTTATTGAGATCTTACGATGGATAGGTATGTATTTATGTATATATGATATATGTGTATATGTTTGTATATATGCGTGCATGTATATATGTATGCCTTTATATGTGTGTACGATTATATTATGTATATTATTATTCTAAAGGATTTTGTGGATTTTTTTGGTTTTCTTGCGTTACATTTTAAACTGATAATTTCACTTTCTGACTATCTGATCTGATTGGTTGAATGGTTGTTTGGTTGATTGATTGATTAATTGGATTGTTGTTTGGTTGATTGATTGGATTGTTGGTCAGTTTATTGATTAATTTTGTCTTAAGCTTGTTAGTAGTATTTTTATTTATATTATGAAATAATGTAAATAATCAAATTATATATGTATGCATGTCAATTATATATGTATGTATGTCACATTTATTATCTTATTATGTACATGCAACTGTATTTTACATATTCAGACACAAATAAACATACACACATATGTGTATACGTATATCTATAGCTTATCACTTATATACCCATCGTATGTTTTGCTAATTCTGTCTTTTCAACTATTCTTTTTTTATTATTCTTATTCGTATTATTAATATAGTTATCTGTAGTAATGTTCAAGTATTTTTTTTTATTCGAAAAAACAATAATTTTGAAAAATTTTCTTCCAAAAAAAAACAAAAAAACAAAAAAAAATTGTACTCCAACTTACGGTTGAAGACACAATCCTGTGCATTACAAATCCTCATTTCATTTTGAAACGTCATTATTTTCGCGTTTGTCATTCATTCATCTTGTGAGTTGAGACGGTAGTGGCTTTTGCGCTTGTTAACTAAGTTTCTGGATTTGCTCTTATTTTCATTATTATTATTATGGTTATTATTATTGTTATTACTGTTTCAATCGTTATCACCGGTTTTATAGTTTATTTTGTCGAAATGAAAACAAATTTAAAAAAAAATAATAAATGATTTTCGAGTTGGTTAAGGTTTGTTAGACTGCCGACCTCATCGACCCTAATTCTATATAACTCATCCTACATTTCATCGTATATCATGTAACATCTACGTTCACCCAGTACAATTTACCAAAACTAAATATCTCATCCTCGTCGGGTGCGAGCGCCACAATGTTTCTCTTTGCTGTACTGACCAACACAGGAAGCGAACATGGTGGAATGGGCGATGTGGGTCTCCTCCTCGCTCGACCCAAAAAGGTGGGCCCAGGGCCCCGATGCGTACACTGCCACATCTTCGCCACCGTGTGTTTCGTCACTCAACCAAATTCCAGTGTCCTGACGGAAATCTATGTTCTCCAGATCTGGTGGATGAATTTTTATTTTTTTCTTTACTTGTTATATCATTTTACTAGTTAAGACCGGTTTCGTTCGTTCGTTTGTTTTACCACTGCTGTTGTCAAGTCAGACGAAATGTAAATGAAGAATAAAATTATCTAACCAGGATTTCCGGTGAGGTTTTTTCTGGGCACTTCCTTGCCGTTGACCATTCGGTGGTCTTCGAATCCGGGTCCGTTGGCATAGTGCAGTTGTAGGAATGGTTTCCCGTCTTTCCCTCGCGAGTAAGAAAATCCTTGAGGGAAAATTTAATTTTTTTTAGAATGAAAGTCGAGTAAAAATTTATTTGCAGTACCAAACCAAATAAACGAACCGAGGATGGATTCTGTGCTTAATCCATAGCCTCCCAACGTCAGAGTGTGTGAGTGGTCAGCTGTCACGACAACGAGTGTCTCGTTGTCGTTGGTCATGTTCAGGGCTACACGGATAGCCTCGTCGAATGATAACGTGTCTATCAAGGCTCTCTGTGCGTTTGTGTCGTGATGGGCGTGATCTATTCTTCCACCTAGCGTGTTTGAAATGTTTTGTAAAGTTTCAAATTGAATGCTTCCATTAAAATGTTGGTTGGTAGTGTAGTTGAAAGATAATTTTGCTTCAAGTCTGAACTAACAAACGTTTTATAGATCAAAAACAAATTTCCATAAAAACCTTCCACAAATAAAAAATATCCGTTTGGGGAACGGCTCAAGAGTTGAAGCGACTTTTTCGTCATCTCGGCCAAAGATGGCTGTTCGGTCCTGTTTCTGTCTGCTTCATACGACATGTGATCGTAGCTGAAGAGGCCTGCAAGCAAATATTTTTCATACATTTTCGACATTCCAGATTGTTTTTGCCGCGATATTGAATCGACGAGCGAATAATTGAGACTATTTAACAACCTAACAAATAATCTACGTTAGCTGGATTTGCAGCGTCAAATTCTTTCTTGTTCTTCACAAATTTATATCGTTCTTTATTCGCCTCTCTTATACCCATCCATTCCTTTTTGGTGATAATCAAATTGAGATTAATTAAACAAAAAATTATATATTCAAATATGTTTTACAAAACCTTGATGAGATTTCGGTTGTCGTCCCTTTTCCCCCGGTGACCATGCTCCGACTCATTCTTCGGTATGAACATCTCAACTCCACCTCCCATGGCCACCTGCTCATTATTTTCCATATTTGTTATCTCTCTTAAAATAAATGTGAATGTTCTTTTAAAATTTTAAATCCACCATTTAAGTAACTCAAAACTGACTCTGATTTTTCGATTCTTCTCACCGACAACAAGTTGCTGAGCGATATCTAAAACTTTATCCCTGCATTTCGAATCCACTTTGCCCTCCCAGTTCCTATCCGGACTGTTTGCGTAATTTCCGGCTGGGGAGGCGTGCGTGAGCCTGGTCGTACTAATCACCCCAACCCACTTATCTGGCAAAACAATTTTTTACAAATTTTTTAATCTAACTTAATTTTTAAAAATTCATTCACTGTATCAAAGTGTTTCAATATAATAAGCAACAGAAAATACCAATCCTACCAACTAACTAGCATCAATGGAATTGACAGCAGATGACTTCAGTCTGTTGGCATCAGTGTAGTTGTCGCAGCTTCCTAAGCTGACATACTCGTTGACGCCCAGAGTGCCGTAGTTCGTTTTGACGCCACAGAGGTACGCCGTTGCGGTCGATGCGCTGTCTGCTGTCGTTCTGTCGACACTGTACGTCTGCGTGATAGTACTACTAAGTATTATTAGTAGAAATAATAGTAACATTATTATTTATTGAAAGTAGAAATTTCAGCGGTTGTAGGTAGTATTATTTGTAGTTGCATGAAAGAAAAAAAATTTTTGTTGAAATTGTAGTCCAACTAACTCTGGAGAGACCTGCGTAGGGCAGTGTCTCCATTGTTAAATAGGTTTTTTCGTGTTTTAGCCCCTCCCTCTGAGCCCTGTACACACGAGCCGCTGCGATAGTGGACAACCCCATTCCATCCCCCAAGAACAAAATAACATTTTTAGCTTTGTTTCTTTTCAAATTATCGGCCGTTTTAGAAATTTTTTCGATTCGCTGCCTGCCCAGTTTCGCCCAATCATTGCCGGCCCATGGTTGGTGGTACGGTGGCTGGTGGTCGTCTGGTGGAGGCTCGAGATGAGGATGGTGGTGTTCGTGGTCATCAGAGGTCTCGCCGTATATTCCTAATCATGTTTTTTTGTTAGGTTTTGTGTTTTTGTTTGTAAAAGTTTTATAATTTAAAATAAAAAATTTCAGCCATTAAATTAGAATGAATGAAAAAGCGTTGCAAAGACTGGCAGATGTTTCATGTTTGTTGTATTTTTGCTTACCGTGCTGCCTGTTGAAGCTTAGCAGACATGCGAGGAAAGAATATAAAATCAATTCTTTGAAGCGATCCATAATGAAATAAGAGTTGAGAAATGAGAGCTAAGGTTGATTTTACTGAGTTTATATGTACAAATATGTTAAACGTGTGTGTGTGTGAATGTGCGTTTGTGTGTGTGATTGTGTTGTATGTGTGCTTGTGTATGTGTGTGTGTATGTTTGTATGCATGAGCATTTCAACATATTTGAATCTGGCCAAATTTCATTGTCTTATCGATAGAGTGAATGTGCTCGAGATAACGATATGCGATGATTTGATCTGCGATGTGCGTTACCAGTCTCGTTATCATTTCATATTATATTCATCATTTTGTCCTATATTATAATGGTTTGGAATTGTTATTATCAATATCATTATTATAGTATTATTATCATTTATAATAAAATTATTTTTTTACCGTTGTTACATATACGCTGTGTGTGTTTGTCGTTGAAAGATCTGAAGCAAACGCAAAAGAGAGAGAGAGAAACCTTTAACCTTTGCATCATCACCAGGTTTAACCTTTAAATTCAAAACATAATTGACGGACACGACACATGGGTCGATAATGGATAATAATAGCCTATCGGTTATAAAATGCAAAGATAAGCATTTCATAGAAAGTTTACGTCATCCATTTCGTCATCTCTTGTAAATATTTAACTAGACATGCCTATAAAACTTACGTCAACTCATTTCGAAAAACAAAACTGGTTATAAAAACACGTGCAAATTTTTTTGACAGTTGTAGAGTTTAGAGATAGAATAAAAACTTAAGTTTGAGAGTATTTGCGCTAAAAAACGACACCAAGAAAAAGATAGAGAATCCTATTTTAATTATTCTTTTGTCATTGTTTAGAAAAATTATCATTTTATTAAACTCCAAAAAAAACATTTTGTGACGTTGATAACTTAAAGAAAAGTTGTCGACAAAAAAATTGTATCCGGTTGGAATGCATACATTCAACATTGAAATTATAGTCTGAAGGAATAACTGAAAATATATACAAGTTATTGCCGTCGGCAATCCTTCTTTTAAAAAGAAGTTTGGTAGGATTAATTTGTAAGTTGAGCTAATTGAACATAGGTAGGTGAGTTAATTTAGTGAACATAGGTAAGTTAGGGTCTCTATTCTTTCATTCTTTCCTTCTATTTTATTTGTATTGTATTGTTTTGTTTGTTTTTTGTCCAACACAACACCAACAATCAAACACAACAATCAACACAATATTATTTTGGTTATATTTTAGTTATGTTTCGTTATATCTATTTTAGTTAAGTTGTATATTATTTCTAGAATTCGTTAATCATTATTTCTAGACTGTCGTTTTATTGTTAAAACCCCCACATGAACGGCTGCCTTGACGTGGCGAGGGGGCTTCTCACTAAATTCCGTTCAAATTATTGTTTCTTCTTCACTTGTTTGTTTTCTTAAAAATGCGATTTTCTATCTATTTCTTGGTGTCAGAAAGTTCAATAATAATTCGAGCGGTAACACATACACAAAATTCAAGCACATACATACAATAGTTAAAAACATGCATACGTTCGTACGCACATACAAACAAACATACCTACAAACATACATAAAACACATACACATGCATGCATGCTATAGCGGTTATATTTTTGTAATTTGTCTATTCTCCTCAATTTAAATTTGAATTCAACTATATCGATAGGTAAGTTAATTATTAAGTTTTACATTATTATTATAAGGTTGGAGCCCAAGGCATTAGGTAGGTGGTGGGGTGGGGCGAATGAATTGGGCTCTTGAGTTTTGTAGTTTTATGTAAGCTAGGGTTTAATTTTAATGAATAGGTAAGTTTTGGTTTAGACGTTGTTAGCTAAAGCCATTAAATAGGTAGATAGGATTATTTACTTAACTAATTTGAGACGCGTGCACTTTTCATCTTCCTTTTTTTAACTCACCTATGTTCAAAAAGCTCAACTTACAAGTTAATCCTACCTATTTGTACGATTAAGAAAAGAAAGGTAAGGTCAAGAAATTAAAAAAACCAAGCAAACAAAACACCGAATGTATTGTATGTATGTATGTATGTTTGACTGTACGTATTTTCACAAACCTACGAATGACTGAATGAAAAAATGAATGGTTGAATGAAGGATTGAACGAATGAATTAGTGAATGAATAAATGAACGAATGAATGGATGACTAATTATTACGACAAAACACAACATTGCACGACGGATACACATCAAAGTAAATTCTGATTTATTTACATTTTTTTTGAAAAAATAATTTGAATAACTTTAACAATATTACTACTAGCACTGCTACTGCTACCACACTACTACTACTACCACCACCACCACTACTACGACTACTACTATTATTACTACTACTATTACTATTACTATTACTTTCGTTACTGCTGCTGCTAATATTACTATTACTACTACTAAAACTAAAAATTAGAATTGCAAATTGAAGAACATTTTAATATGTTTTTGACTTATGCGCGTCTGGCCACTTTGGAGCTTTTTTTTTAATTTAGTATGCTAACAGCTCATGACAAAATAATGGAATAATAATATTATTATTGATGTTGTTATTATTATTATTATTATTATTATTATTATTAATAGTAGTAAAATTGTTATAACTTTTATAATTAATTAATTCAAAGTATCTCTCTCGTAAATATGAAAGTTCAAAATTTGAATGAATTCACGAGCTCTTTGAATGCTTGGTTAATTATTTTTTTCATTGATTATTTGATTGATTAGTTGGCCTGTTGCTTGGACGGTTAGTTGGTCAGCTGGTTGGCTGAGTGTTTGGCTGACTGGTTTGTGAGCTGGCTGGTTAGTTGGTTAGTTGATTGGTTACCTGATTGATTAATCAATTGATAAATTAGCTGATTGATTAAATAAATGATTGATAGATTATTCGATTGATAGTGAAAGAGAAAAAAGAATACAGCCGACAAGACAGAAAAAGGTATAGAGAGAAAGTGAAAGAGAGAGGGAGAGAGAGAGAGAGAGAGAGAGGATAGTTAAACAAAGAGAGGCTATGTAGCAAATAAAATTAATGAATTTTCATGAAATTTTTAACCAAATGAACAACAACATTAAAATCAAACAGTAAACAAACACAACAACAACTACTACTACAACTACTGCTGCTGCTGCTTCTGCTGCTTCAACTACTACTAGCAGAAGACGTCACAAACCAAATCATAAACTGCGAATAAATAGAAATACAGTGTCGCAAAAATTCGCATACATGCCTAAAAATAATATCTGCAATTGACACTTTAACTCTAGCGTAAAAATGATACAAATATATAAAGTATATGGTATATTTAAAAAGAAACAAATACGTAAACAAACATTGAAAAAACTTTTAAACACACTTATACACACATATATATATATACCATATACAATACACAACACACATACATAATTTAACATACTTTATATTATACACACACTCACACACACACACACAGACACACACACACACACACATATATATATATATTTATAAACAGCAATATATTTATATATATATATTATATATTTGTATAAGGTATAAATATATCTGTGAAGATAGGTAAGATGACTTTTATGAAATTGTTTTGACGCAAACAACACGAAGATAAACTAACAACTTAAGGTTTGTATGTATGTTTGTTTATGTATTTGTATTTATGTATGTTAGTTTGTTTTTATGCTTGCATGAATTTTTATTTGTTCTTAGTTTTGTTCGTATTCTTGTTTGTTTCCGTTTGGATTTGTATGTTTGTTTGTTTGTTTGTTTGTTTGTTTGTTTGTATGTATGTATGTATGTATGTATGTATGTAGTATACAAGTAACGACGTTTGTATATATCAATATTTCCATGTACGCATGTTTGTTTGTATGTAACATGTATGTTTTTATGAGTATATGTATGTATGTTTGGGTATGTATGAATGCATGTATGTGTTTGTGTTTTACGCTCGTGTGTGATAATGTTTACAACGTGTTTTCAGTAGTCGGAATCTTCATATAGGTTGGTTAATTGTACGCTATATGCAATCAAAACCACTAAAACTAAACACAAATAAACAAACAAACAGGCAAACAAAAATAAAGATAAACAAAAGTACTAAGCAAAAAACTAATTAACATAATTGAAACATTTATAGAAAGCAGACACATATTTACGCTGACACACAACTCATTCACACACTCTCACACACACAACTCACACACACACAACTCACACACACACAACTCACACACACACATACATATACCCTTACACTCATTCACACACACAATGCAAATACATCAACCACATATACATACATACACAAGTCTATATGCAAAGAGAAACAAATACGTAAACAAACATTGAAAAAACTTTTAAACACACACACACACACACACACACACACACACATATATATATATATATATATATATACATACTTACAAACACACACGCACGCACACACATGCAAATATATCAATCAATCATATATATATATATATATATATATATATAAACAACATATATATATATTTTAAACAACAACAATTCATCTGACTACATTGTGATCAAGCTTAACTACCGAGCAAGAACGTGAGCAACGCCTACTACATCTTAATCGGGAGTTAGATAATAAACGACATATTGTGAACGATATTACAACTAATTTAAACAATTTGAATCAAAATTTTAACAACCTTCAAATAACCAATGATGATAAAATACCTATTGAAACATGGTTACAACAAACAGCAACTTCACAACGACACCGCGTCAAACTTCGTACCAACAATAAACTTATAAACCTTTTAAAAGCAAGCAACAAAGATAATAACCGTTTCATCAACCTTAGTACCCATAATCTAACTCAACAACAAATAGATTTTCTAAACTTGGGCCTAAATTGCCACTACATCAACAAACCGCGAAATATTGACAAACAGATAGAGGTAGAAAAACTAATGGAAAATATTTTACAGTTACAACAAAAACACAAAATAATTGTCAACCCATCAATTGCTATACATCTTTTATCCGAATCGAAAAAACAACGTGGTGTGTTTAACAGCAAAATTTTAACAAACAGCATGAAAGTAGCTGCTAAAGAGATTAGAAATAATA